TCTTTATCTTTTTATCTTTATATCTTTATATCTTTATATCTTTATATCTTTATCTTTATCTTTATCTTTATCTTTATCTTTATCTTTATCTTTATCTTTATCTTTATCTTTATCTTTATCTTTATCTTTATCTTTATCTTTATCTTTATCTTTATCTTTATCTTTATCTTTATCTTTATCTTTATCTTTATCTTTATCTTTATCTTTATCTTTATCTTTATCTTTATCTTTATCTTTATCTTTATCTTTATCTTTATCTTTATCTTTATCTTTATCTTTATCTTTATCTTTATCTTTATCTTTATCTTTATCTTTATCTTTATCTTTATCTTCATCTTTATCTTTATCTTTATCTTTATATATATATATATATATATATATATATATATATATATATATATATATATATATATATATATATATATATATATATATATATATATATATATATATATATATATATATATATATGTTTATATATATATATATCTATACAATTTATTTCTGTATTTAATTTTACCCCCTTCCCTTTTAACGGTTCCCAGAAAGAACCGCAACGGAAAAAAGCGCAACGGAAAAAAGCGCAAAACAAAAAGCGCAACGGAAATAAGCGCACACGGAAAAAAGCGCAAAGAGAAAAAAGCGCACACAGAAAAAAGCGCAAAGAGAAAAAAGCGCAAACGGAAAAAAGCGCAACGAGAAAAAAGCGCACACAGAAAAAAGCGCAAACAGAAAAAAGCGCAAACGGAAAAAAGCGCAAAGAGAAAAAAGCGCACACGGAAAAAAGCGCAAAGAGAAAAAAGCGCAAACAGAAAAAAGCGCAAAGAGAAAAAAGCGCACACAGAAAAAAGCGCAAACAGAAAAAAGCGCACACAGAAAAAAGCGCAAACAGAAAAAAGCGCAAACGGAAAAAAGCGCAAACGGAAAAAAGCGCACACAGAAAAAAGCGCAAACGGAAAAAAGCGCACACAGAAAAAAGCGCAAACGGAAAAAAGCGCAAACAGAAACAAAAAAAATGCGCAACCAGAAAAAACACAACGAAAAATGTGCAAAAGAGAAATTTAGCACAAAGACCATATGGACTAGATGACACATTTATACATGACTGTTAGGGCTGCTGTGAGAGTGTCGTGTTTGATCACGTGATCTACTACCATTTAAAGCGTACCACTACCATCTGCATTCCCATCACCACGATACAGGCGATAATCACTTTACACAATGCCTATTATTTTCTTGGTCAATAATTATTCAACTACTATTCTCGTATAAACATAAAACTATCGACATTACACGAAGTATCTTTCACATTCTCCCTAGTCCGAACTACCTAGCTTGCATACTATAACAACCCGTTCCTATGGCAAAACTTCACTCTCTTTCATCCGCGTCATCAAACATGCATTCGTCATATCTCTCGTAACAACATTCATTCGCACCAAAATAACAATTTTGTATTTAATATTTTTTCACATCATGACGCACCTACCTACCTACCTACTACCCACCTACCCACCTACCTACCTACCTACCTAACTACCCACCTACCCACTTACCCACTTACCCACCTACCCACCTACCCGCCTACATACTTACCAAACTACCCACCAAAAAAGTATCGGCGAAGTTCGTAAGTTTCGTAAACTGTACTAGACATCATTTTTTTTTAATGAAAATCCATTGACATCATTGACATATGTTACATATATGTTACATTTTGCGACAACCTTAATTAGTGGGTTGGGCTTGTATGAAAACTCACTTCGAACTAACTCAATTACATGCTATTTATTTTAACATTACACGGTAAGCGTCACCCAACTGTTGTGATGTAAGGTGAGGACAGGTTCGACAATAAACCAACACGAAAGTACGAAAGAGACATAGATTGCCTATTAGAGAATGGACCCCTTAACTTTCCTAACCCCACCATTTATTATACCCTACCTAACCTCTAAATTTACTGCGCTAAATGTCACTTCCCTCCCAATCGTTCCTATTCTACAGAATTGTGTATACTATTTATTTACATTCTTTAATCTCAATATAACTAAAATAGACTTTTGTTTGAAGGGTAATGAAAACATGTAAACAAAAGGGACGCTACTCTAAATCTATGCGAATACTTATATGCAGTGGCGTAGGCGGGGGGGGGGGGGGTTATGGGGGGTCATAACCCCCCCCCCCCCCAATAGACCCCTCGGTATATATATATATATATATATATATATATATATATATATATATATATATATATATATATATATATATATATATATATATATATATATATATATATGCAAATCGAAAGTTTGAGGGGGGGGGGTACAATCGACAGTTTGAGGGGGGGGGGGGGGAAGTCTGGAAGAAACACTGCATGTAGCCTATATAACAAAAGAGCTATGGTTGTTTATATCATTTTGCATTCGTCCGGTAAACATTTCAGTAAAATACCTTAAAAACCTTCCGTAACATTTTTATAAAGAAACAAAGAGAGATGAAGTTTATAAATGTTAAAATAAATAGCATGTAATTGAGTTAGTTCGAAGTGAGTTTTCATACAAGCCCAACGCACTAATTAAGGTTGTCGCAAAATGTAACATATATGTAACAAATGTCAATGATGTCAATGAATTTTCATTAAAAAAATGATGTCTAGTACAGTTTACGAAACTTACGAACTTAGCCGATACTTTTTTGGTGGGTAGTTTGGTAAGTATGTAGGCGGGTAAGTGGGTAAGTGGGTAGGTGGGTAGTTAGGTAGGTAGGTAGGTAGGTGGGTAGGTGGGTAGTAGGTAGGTAGGTAGGTGCGTCATGATGTGAAAAAATATTAAATACAAAATTGTTATTTTGGTGCGAATGAATGTTGTTACGAGAGATATGACGAATGCATGTTTGATGACGCGGATGAAAGAGAGTGAAGTTTTGCCATAGGAACGGGTTGTTATAGTATGCAAGCTAGGTAGTTCGGACTAGGGAGAATGTGAAAGATACTTCGTGTAATGTCGATAGTTTTATGTTTATACGAGAATAGTAGTTGAATAATTATTGACCAAGAAAATAATAGGCATTGTGTAAAGTGATTATCGCCTGTATCGTGGTGATGGGAATGCAGATGGTAGTGGTACGCTTTAAATGGTAGTAGATCACGTGATCAAACACGACACTCTCACAGCAGCCCTAACAGTCATGTATAAATGTGTCATCTAGTCCATATGGTCTTTGTGCTAAATTTCTCTTTTGCACATTTTTCGTTGTGTTTTTTCTGGTTGCGCATTTTTTTGTTTCTGTTTGCGCTTTTTTCCGTTTGCGCTTTTTTCTGTGTGCGCTTTTTTCCGTTTGCGCTTTTTTCCGTTTGCGCTTTTTTCTGTTTGCGCTTTTTTCTGTGTGCGCTTTTTTCTGTTTGCGCTTTTTTCCGTTTGCGCTTTTTTCTGTTTGCGCTTTTTTCCGTTTGCGCTTTTTTCCGTTTGTGCTTTTTTTCCGTGTGCGCTTTTTTCTGTTTGCGCTTTTTTCCGTTTGCGCTTTTTTCTGTTTGCGCTTTTTTCCGTTTGCGCTTTTTTCTGTTTGCGCTTTTTTCTGTGTGCGCTTTTTTCTCTTTGCGCTTTTTTCTGTTTGCGCTTTTTTCTCTTTGCGCTTTTTTCCGTGTGCGCTTTTTTCTCTTTGCGCTTTTTTCCGTTTGCGCTTTTTTCTGTTTGCGCTTTTTTCTTTGTGCGCTTTTTTCTCGTTGCGCTTTTTTCCGTTTGCGCTTTTTTCTCTTTGCGCTTTTTTCTGTGTGCGCTTTTTTCTCTTTGCGCTTTTTTCCGTGTGCGCTTATTTCCGTTGCGCTTTTTGTTTTGCGCTTTTTTCCGTTGCGCTTTTTTCCGTTGCGGTTCTTTCCGGCCACCCCTTTTAACAATAAAGCGTGAGAGATCTACCCTAAACTTTCTGTTATTAAGGGAGATGGTACTGCCAGTGCAATCGAGATATAGAAATGTTTTAATTTAAAAAAAAAATTAGTACTAAAAATGAATTGCTTACCAAATACCAAATGAACTCACATGTGTGTAATGGCGAGGAAAATTAGTATTTTAGGAAGGAAACATTGATTTATTTATAAAATGTTGATTAAACATCTGATAAAATCGCATTTTATGTCAAAGTTCATTATCATTAAATCTTTACCTACATGAAAAATTTGGAACAAACCGGTCCAGTAGAAGTGATATTTTTTGAGAAATCGGAAATACTATAAAATACCACTTCCGGTCTCCTGAAACACTCAAAATATGAAAGATTGAAGATAGTAAGATCTTATACGTATTTATAACATTTCGTTCACTTTAATGCAACGGTACTTACGTTATCAGTATTTTAGAAATCGGAACTGGAGTAAAATACCACTTCCGGTTATCGGAGGTCGCGCAAAAACTTAAAATAAACTTAGTTATCAGTTCCTCTACTTATATATATTTATGTATACAATTTCTTCTACTTAACTGAAACATTACTTAAGTTAAAGTGTTCACACACAAATAGAGTTAAGTATTACATCCGGTTACCGGAAATCGTTCATAAGTTGAGAGAATACTGCACACACATTTCAATACATACACATGAAATTCCGTCTACCTAAATTAAAAGGCGCTTTAATTTAAGAAACAGCAAGTAGAGTATGTTTTGATACAGAATTACAAATATATAACATTTCGTCAACATGACTAAACGGTACTCAAAAAATCGTGTTCACAGACATAAGACAAAATTGCAAAACCAAGTTTTTCCATTCCGGAAGAATGTAAAACGTCAAAGTTTGTCAACATTTCTGTTTAGATCTTTTGCACGATTACATTTCATCCTTATGCACTGTATATGATAAAGTATGGAGTTATCAAAGGGCGAGAACTGTCAAAATATTTGATAATTATTCAGCAGTGCTTCCTCTATACTCTGTATACGAGAAAGTAAAGACGCTGCCCACGCAACTGTTTACCCTAAGACGTGTTTCTTCTCTATCTCTCCAGCGTCGGAAAAGTCCCGTTTGTCGTGTTCAGTCCCGACAGCCACAGACAGCACATGCAGGAGCTAAAGGACGGGAGAGATGTCCAGCTGTCAGACCTGTCACTCAAGTGTGACCGTCCTTGTCACATGGTAGGTCAAGCACTGTTGGTCATCTGACATTTGTTCAGCTTAGTGAGCAATGGTTATGTGACATTTGTACAGCTTAGTGAGCACTTGTCATGTGACATCTGTACAGCTTATTGAGCACTGGTCATGTGGCATTTGTACAGCTTATTGAGCACTGTAGGTCATCTGACATTTGTACAGCTTATTGAGCACTTGTCATCTGACATTTGTACAGCTTATTGAGCACTTGTTATCTGACATTTGTTCAGCTTATTGAGCACTGGTCATCAGACATCTGTACAGCTTATTGAGCACTTGTCATCTGACCTCTGTACAGCTTATTGAGCACTTGTCATATGACATTTGTACAGCGTATTGAGCACTGGTCATCTGACATTTGTACAGCTTATTGAGCACTCTTCACATGACAGTACATGGTGTGTACATGCTGGTGTACAGCTTATTAAGCACTTGTCATCTAACTTTTGTACAGCTTATTGAACACTTGCCGCATGATAATTTTAGCATTACATTTTCCACATTGTGCGTACATACTGCACTCAACATTTTACATCTACACGTAATGCCAAACTTTCTGGAAACAGTCAGCAGTCAGGTGCTCTTCCTCCCGACCACGCCATTCCCCCAATGTATAACATCCAATGTTATACAACTAGCAATGAATGTCATATTTGAGATGTACTCTAGCTTTAATGTATACATTTATATAAGGTAGTCTCTTTAAGACTGACATTAGATGAAATAAACGCGGGTCAATGATCGTTGGATCTAGAATAGGGCAAAACTATAAGCCTATGGTCACCTATGATGTCATACTTCTTGTGGTGAGGTCCATTTTACTGTTTTCAGACACTGCAGTAATAACAATACGTTAAGTTCATTAATCTAATTATAACTATAAAATATTGTGAATAAATAAAGCAAGAGTCTTTTTCAGTAGTCAGAAGTAGCGAAATTTGCTCTAAAATATACATTGAGATATTATAATGTAAGGGACATAACCGTAATTTTTGTATCTTGTTTAAGATTTGTCAAGTTGCTTCCCCTCACAACCCTTTAGCATGCACAAGAACGTATTTCTTCTGTAACGAGCCTTACATCATCACTAAAGGTAAGTAGTGTTTTACCTTTTGTAGTCCTACATCATCACTAAAGGTAAGTAGTGTTTTACCTTTTGTAGCTCTACATCATCACTACAAGATAGAGATGTTCAACTTGCATACACATTATATCATAACTAAAGGATTGTGATGTTTTTACGTGTCTTGTACACATTCCCGGCAGTATCTGAGTTATTTCCCCTAGTTAGTGTTAAATATTTGGTTCTTTTCCCACTGCTACTAAAAACTTTATCTTTCATATTTTATTTACGCCAAGATATATCATTTTTTAAACTTACTAATACACCAAAAACTTGTTTAGCCTCTTACCCCAAAATGTAATGTGCAAAAAACATTTTGTGCTAAGCTTCATATGATGTTGTTTCATTGACTGCTATGTTAAATATTTGATTTTGTTGGCTTTAAATATGTAACAACTATTTAACAGGCCCTATGTTGCATACATACTTAGAGGTTTTACTGAGATGATGATAATGTCAATCTTACGTGATGTAGTAATATAATTTCTATAGCCTTAAAGTTTATATGTATCAGATGTGCTGTAGCTATACACGTTTTCATGAAGATGAACCCCTGTTAAACCTTGGTGACACTTATGAACCCCTGTTAAACCTTGATGACACTTATGAACCCCTGTTAAACCTTGGTGACACTTTATGAACCCGTGTAAACCTTGGTGACACTTTATGAACCCCTGTAAACCTTGGTGACACTTTATGAACCCCTGTTAAACCTTGGTGACACTTTATGAACGTCTGTTAACCTTGGTGACACTTTATGAACGTCTGTTAACCTTGGTGACACTTTATGAACCCCTGTTAACCTTGCTGACACTTTATAAACCCCTGTTAAACCTATGTGACACTCTATGAACCCTTGTTAAACCTTGGTGACACTTTATGAACCCCTGTTAAACCTTGGTGACACTTTATGAACCCCTGTTAAACCTTGGTGACACTTATGAACCCCTGTTAAACCTTGGTGACACTTTATGAACGTCTGTTAAACCTTGGTGAAATTTATGAACCCCTGTTAACCTTGGTGACACTTTATAAACCCCTGTTAAACCTATGTGACACTCTATGAACCCTTGTTAAACCTTGTTGTCACTTTATGAACCCCTGTTAAACCTTGGTGGCACTTTATGAACCCCTGCTAACCTTGGTGACACTATATGAAGCCCTATAAACCTTGGTGACACTGTATGAACCCCTGTTAAACCTTGGTGACACTTTATGAACACCTGTTAAACCTGTCTTGGTGAGACGTTACGAACGTCTGTTAAACCTTGTCTAACCTGTTATACACACGTCACTCCCATTTAAACTAAAAACGTGGGACAAAAACTTTGCTGGTGGCCACATTAAAAAATCGATTCCCTCACATTTTGTCGTTAGATTCTTATCTATGTTAGGTGAGTGATAGGCTTATATAAGGCTGTCACATACTCATGTAGCTCTATAATAGCTGATGGCTCGAATGGTGAGTCTAATTGTTTATACGTGACTTCACTGTTCTTAAGTTAACTGTGCCAGGTACTGAAATGATGTCATTATTTATTGTCACGTGACCAGTATCATACCAAAATAGGAAAGTCACATATAAAAAAATAATTGTTCATACCAAGCATAGTAGCATAGTTAATTTAACGGCACTAACTAATTTTTGTTGGACTTCATTGGAGCCACATAAATAATACGCCAACATTGTAGCCCATACACAGATCACGGGCCAACATTGTAGCCCATACATAGATCACGGGCCAACATTGTAGCCCAAACATCGGAGCCCAAACATAGAACACGGGCCAACATTGTAGCCCAAACATAGAACACGGGCCAACATTGTAGCCCAAACAGATCACGTGCCAACATTGTAGCGCAAACATATCACGGGCCAACATTGTAGCCCAAACATAGAACACGGGCCAACATTGTAGCCCAAACATATATCACGGGCCAACATTGTAGCCCAAACATCGGAGCCCAAACATAGATCACGTGCCAACATTGTAGCCCAAACATAGAACACGGGCTAACATTGTAGCCCAAACAGATCACGGGCCAAGATCGGAGCCCAAACATAGATATTGGGCCATTATGTATGTCGAAACAAACCCTCTAGAAGCCGACATTTATGAGTTGTAACAAGTTTATTGTCAGATAGACCAATTTCTATGTTGTTTTATGTGGAACTTCTCAGGACTGTATGTGGAATCTGTACTGGAATCGAAACCTCTATAATAGTATCCACATTTCACGTCTTCCATGGCTCTGTAGTGTCAATGTCTTAAACATTTCTGCTCTTTCTTAAGTCGGCGATTATCTTTTAACTTTATTTTCTACACATCTAACCCCTTCTACCTAAATAACGATTTTTCCCCCGCCGAGGGAGCTGGTGGGGGGTGTCGAGGCAAATTGTCGTCCTCCCCCCTCAATAAAACATCCGTGATGAATCATTTGCGCAGAGTCGTGGGCCCTGACGTCTGCCATAACTGTTTGCCGCCCCGGCAGGAAACGTGCAATAAAACTGATGAATAAATATGAGAGAGGAAAGTGAGTTAAATTAAAACTTAGACTCGGCTCTTCGTCCCTTGCTGGTGGATGGTGAACAGCTTTTTACATCTTTATATAGCGCTGGGTTTTCCCGATGTCCGTACATTGAAAGGGGGTGCTTCGTTAGTGATGCTTGTCCTAGTATGTTCACTCAGCTTTCGACGTGTGATATTTTTCTCTTGTTTTTCTTATATTCATTTAATATTAGTTATATTGTTTGAAATTCTGTTCCCGGACTCATGGGTGTCACGTGGTAGGCCTACACACAATCCCACAATCCCTGCATGAGTGGGGGCATATGGGTCAAGTCGAGGGCGGAGAGTGCGGAACAGACAGGGAGGGTGACACCAAAACAATGATTTTTCTAATTTTATTGGAAAAGCCCGCCTTCTTTAGTTAAAAGAGCTATTTCGTACCATATCTATTTTCACAGCATTTTTATATACATCTTGAAAACAGCTTAACACCATCATTGATGGGGTGACTATATATATATATATATATATATATATATATATATATATATATATATATATATATATATGTATATATATATATATATATATATATATATATATATATATATTTAATAGGGTGACACCAATTATATACCACACCTGGTGTCATTTAACTTACTGACGCCACTGTGTTGTGATACAAACTCTACAAAGTCTGCCATATCGACCGTCAGTGCCATCAGCTTAATTAAAAACTTAAACTTTTAACATTTACAAAACTTAATTAAATATCTGCGTATCGAGTTTTAATTAATTCGGATTCTGTTTTATTGTTTGGTCGTGCTGTTTTATTAAACGTAAGTTGAGTATTAGTAAAAGCAAATATAATCTAATACTACTAAAAGTCAAGTTTGTTTACATGTTTGAATATTTATTTGTTTTTTTGTTTGTTTGTTTGTTTGCCTGATTGACTATCTCGCATGGTTGCACTCATCGTGGAAAGCTGTAAAATAGTATGTAGGTAGAGAAAAAATTTTGTTTTAAGACAGACTGTTAATCACACATTTATTTAAAGACGTTAATTAATTTATTGATTTATTCATACGCAGAGTAACCCATTTTTTTTAAAAAGATTAAAACGACCACTACACTCGGCGGGACCGTGACGTCACAGGTTTTTGTTTACTCTTTAGTACAATAAAATGGCGGCGTCTATCGAAGAAAATTGTGTTCCCATTCACAAGTTTAACGCGTTCTAAATCTAATTTTCTGTCGGTCATAACTTTAACAATACGTCCGTTTGCTGTATTTATTACGTTCCAACACTTATATCAATTTGCAACTGTCTTTTTCATTTAGTTTTACAATAAATTTCTCTAGATCTAAAGATCAGCTGTCGAAGGAAAGTTATGAATCTAGAATCTAGCCTAGGGCCTAGGGCCTAGATCTAGAATACATTGTATAGGTGGCCAGGGCTAGATATGCCAGAAAAGCATTTTAAAATTTGCTTTGGAGAATGAAGGCTAAATTTTAAAGTCAGTGTCATAAACATTAATAGAACTTTTTTTTTTTTTTACGTTTTCAATTATTTTTTCTTAAGCCCTATATGTGAATGATAAGGTTGACTATCAGGACCTCGCGGGGCACAGGGCAGGTGAAGTAGGGTTCATCTGTTTCTTTGTCCTAAGCAAATGAAGGGATAGTGTGGTCAGAGACATGCTCGGCTGGAATAGTTTTTGTTGTCTGAGACTTGGCGGGACACTGGGCAGGTGAAGTAGAGTTGAGTAGGTCACCTGTGACGTCAGTATATGAAGGGATAGTCCGAAATCGTTGTTTTCGGTGTTTTTAAAAGATAAAAAACATATTTTTGAATGTGGGGTCTGTTTTTTGTGACGATAAGTGACACTGCAGTAGCGTAGCGAGGAGGGGGGGGGGCGGGAGGGGAGGGGAGGCGGGGGGGGGGGGGGTGAAGGGGAGGCGGGGGGGGGGGGGGAAGGGGAGGCGGGGGGAGGTGGAGGGGGGAAGGGGGGGGACATATGTTGGGGCGCCAAAATGGTTTGGAAAAATAAATTGAAAGGTTGAGGGGGGTTCAAGTCGAAAGTTTGAGTGGGGGGGGGGGGGGGTTCAAATCGAAAAGTTTGTCCCCGGGCGCCGGGAAGGGTCGCTATGCCTCTGAGTGACAGACGTGATGTTTTTTGATGGATGACCCCCGAAGCCCACAGTTATCCAACGGATGACGGGTATTCTAGTTGTAATTAAAACTACAAAAAAAAACGAGAAAAAGAAATTGTATACCACGCATTGCACTATGTTAACAAAAAGTTCACCGAATAAAAAATTATCTGAATTACTTGTGTGGCCTTGATGAACACATAGATTCTATGTTTCTAATTCAGGCTGATATTTGGTTAAGTGTGCTTTCAATATTTATGTTACTTAGCAGCGATGGGGTTCAGGACTACTGCTCAGAAGTATAAC